GGTGGGAAGAAGGAGAGAGAAGGTTTCGGGGTGCGGGGTGTTGAGGGACCCGGAAACAGAAAGCGCTGAGCGAGCGAGCAGGTGGGAGAGGGTGACAACCGCTCAGGCCCCGGGGCGCAGGCGGCGCTCCCCGCTCTCACGCTTCGGGCTCCCAGACCCCGGCCCTTCTCCCAAGCTGCAGCCTCCCTCCTCCCAGAGAGCTGCGCTTCCCCGCGGACTTCGGCATTTGCTGTGAGACCCTAAGCAAATCCTTTGCCCTCTCGGAGCCTGCTCCTCACTGGTTAAGGGAGTGGGGCTCCCATTCCTTAGGGACAGGTCTGTGCGGTAACTCAACGAAGTAGAGTGCCTAAGCAGGAAGCGTGGAATAAATGCACACAGCAGCCGGGCCCCCTTCTTCTGGAGCAGCCCCCTGTTTTTTTCCCTTTTCCTCTTTATTTCCAGTACTGGAGATTGGAGCCAAGGCCTTCGTACTGAGCTGCATCCCCACGGCACACCCTTTTGGCAGACAGGTTCTAGTTCAGTTGCTAAGTCCCCCAGGTGGGACTTGAACACGAGACTCTCCTGCCTCAGCCTCCAGCCCAGGGTGCTAGAATTACAGACGCGCATCATCACACCAGTTTCAGCCGCTATTTTCTAGTCCCTAGGAGTAGGGAGCGGACCTGGTACAGCGAAGGAGGTCCACCTGGCCAGTGATTGGCTCAGGGGAGTCATATATCTCAAGTTGGTCCAATCAGAGTGGCTTTGGGCTTTTGGGGGCGGTGCCAGAAGGTTTGGTCCTTATTACCTAGGGGGACTCGAAAGGATGTGGTTCCGGGCGCCGCTGAACCACATAGGGGAAGACCCTGAAAACTGGGTCAGAGAAAAAGAGTACCAGCTGGAACCGTGCTAACATTCCTAACTCCCGCTCTCTGCAGTGAGGACCCTCCTTTTATTCCAGGTGCCCCAGAGTGAGGCGTTTTCAACCTTCAGCCAGACAAGATGAGAGGTCCCTGAGTTCCACAAAAATCTAGTGGCAGAGTTGGGACTAAAACCCAAACCCCCGGATTATATTCCATTGCCAGAGAAACGTGGAGACCAGGCAGGAGAGGCTGGCAGGGAGGCAGGCGGGAGGCACCCCGGGCCAGAAGCCTTGTGTCCCTGCAGCGTCTCCCCATGCCCCTGCTGCTCCACCATTGCTCTGCGCCAGCACCTCCCCTTGCAGGGACGGCTGCCTCATCTCACGGGCTGCTTCTAGGAGAACCCAAGTGGACCAAGCCAGTGGCTTGTAGAAGCTGCCAGCCCCTGAGAATCCTCTCTGTCCCTCCTGCTCACCCCACACACACTTTTTCTCCACTCCTGGCAACACACCCCGCCCTGTACTTAGGCCCGAACTGCAGTGTCCCAAACTGGCCCCACAATCCCAAGCCCAGTCTGCACAGCTTCTAATCTCTGCCCTCTCCATGGCCCTGCCCCTTCTGTCCCTCACCATTTCTCCAGCAGCCTCCGGCCATCTCCCTGCCTCTGTGCTAACTGCCCTCCACCCTCCCACTAGCCAAGCCAGAGATAACTTGCTAAAACGCAAATGCGGCCAAGTCCCACAAGCAGCACCTTCTATTTCTTCGGCTATGTCTCAGGACCTTTGCCTGTGCTGCTCCTATACCGCCTGCAGTGTCACAGACAGCTCAGCCACCTGGCTGGCACAAAGCAGCCAGCGACTTCCGGCCTCTTGTTCACTCTCTGCGAAAGGTAACTGTGCCACATCTTTTGCCCCCATGCACTCCCTCGTGGGGGGTTTCTCAGTTCCTATGAAAGCATTCAGCTATAAACACTCAAAGAGCAAGATGTGGTGGTGCATACCTGTAATCCCAGTACTCCAGGGGCACAGGCAGGCACATCGCTGCAAGTTTGAGGCCAGAGTGGGATACACAGCAAGACCCTGTCTCAAAAAAAAAAAAAAAAAATCTGGGAGCCGGCAAGATGGCTCAGTGGATTAAGTGCTTCCCTAGCAAGTGCAAGGGTCTGAGTTCAATCCCCGGTTCCGCCAAAAAAAAAAAAAAAAAAAATCTGGGTGTGGATATTTTAGACCCATCTGAGAGGCTGAGGCAGGGGGATTGCTGTAAATTCAAGGCCACCCTGAACTGCATGGTGAGACCTTGTCTCAAAATACAACATTAAATTAAATGATTTTATTTTTTAATTTTTTGGCTGGCTCAGGCTGCTTTAAGAGTGGGTCTGGTATAGCAAGTGGAGGTGGAGGTACAAAATTAAGTTAAAATTTAAAAATAAACACTCATAGAGCTCCCGCTTCTTATCACTTTTTTTTTGAGGGGGTCTGTTTGAGACAGGGTCTCACTATGCAGCTCAGGCTGGCCTTGAACTCACTTTGCAGCCCAGGCTGGTCTCAAACTCCCAGCAGTCTTCCTGCCTCAGCCTCCCGAGTTCTGGGGTTACAGGTAGGCACCACTATGTCCAGCTTGCACTTTTTAAAATATATATTATCTGGGCCGGAGAGATGGCTCAGTTGAAAAAGTGCTTCCCTGGCAAGCACAAGGGCCTAAGTTCAATCCCCATTTCCACCAAAAACATAATAAAAATAAAAGTTATAGATATATATGTAATTTGGAATAAGGGTTTTATTTTTTTTTTTTTCTTCCTCGAATGCCTTCAGGGCACTTTTGGCCAGAGGGAGAGTTGTGAGGTTCGAACTCCAGGAACCTGAGGCTGACAGCTTTGTGGAAGCAGCCACTTAAAGGACTGAGCTAGGGCCAGGCCCCCCTATATATGTAATTTGGGAGACAACACTGAGGGCTCAACTTAGGGCCTTCACGCCTCGGCCTCCCACGGTGCTGGGATGGCCACCGTGTGCCTTCGGGCCTGGCTTTTGGAGGCATTTGTGAGCTCGGGGCTTGTCATGGAGCCCAGGCTGGCCTGGAACTCATGGAATCTTCCTGCCACAGACTCTGGGTGCTGGGATCACAGGCGAGCGGGACGCCACACCCAGCTCTCAGGTGAGGCGGGTGCTCTACCGTCAGCTGCACCCCAGGCCCCAAGCACATCAGATAGAGGCCTCGGGGAGCTCCTGCCAGGGTCACTCCCCTCCCTGCACCCCAAGGTGACACTTACTACATTACATACGTGTGTCCCCAGACAACAGATCCAGGCTGAGCATCCCTCAGCCAAGTTTCTGAAATTTGAAATGCTCCCCAAATCCAAACTACTGACTGCTGACCAGATGTCACAGACATGTAGGAAAAGTCTACACCTGCCCTTGTGGGACAGGTTGCATCCAAAACGCAGGTGACTACAAACGTTGTCTAAAGTTACCATCTGCAGGCCAGGGGTATAGCTCAGTGGCCCAGACACCTCCCTGGCAAACACAAGGTCAGGTCCAGAGTTCGATTCCCAATTAAAAAAAAAAAAAAAAAAAAAGGCAAAATTATCCTCAGGCTATGTGTACAAAGTGCATATGGAACATAAATGACTTTCACCTTTAAACTCAGGCACCCCCTCTCCAAGATTAAATCCAAGCCAGGCAGGTCGTATTTTTTTTTTTTTTTTGGTACAGGTCTCACAATGCAGGTCAGACTCTTAGTGATCCTCCTGTTTTCAGCCTCCCCAGCACTGGGATTACAGGCATACACCACCACACCTCTGCTGGGGATTGAACCCTGGTCCCCACGCTTGCCTAAGCATGCACTTAGTCCACTGAGCTATCTCACTCGCCCTTCATGGCAGGCCTTTTGTGGTGGCCAAAGCCTTAAATGCCAGCACTTGGGAGGCTGAGGCCAGGGTGACCTGAGTTTGAGGTCAACCTATTTTTTTTTTGGACAGGATCTTGCTACGAGGTTCAGGCTCGCCTTGAGCTCATGGTGATCCTCCTGCCTCTTGGCACAAAACCCAGAACAAGGAGGCCAGAGCCAGCAAGCCAAAGACTCCAGAAGGTGCAACCACACTGCAGGCTCGCCTCTCCAGCTGTGTGCCCCACACGGACCATTTGGGGCAGTCACTGAGCATCTCTGAGCCGGTTCTTCCCAGGGGAGGTGGGTCTCTAACCATCCATGACAGCCGGGTGGGGCGATTCAGTGAGCCTAGGCCAAGAGCAGCCGCACAGACAGGACAGGCTCCAACAGGGGACAGGCTCATTACCTTTGCAGTCCACAGAGAATCCCCGGCTTTGGTCTTAGTGAAAAAAACTCCAAGTCAAGCTAGTTGCAGATAAGCTGTCCTTTATTGGCTCACAGAACCAGGAAGCCACTGGGGCGGCAGGGCCCCTGCTCATGGGTGGTGCAGCCACTTCTGGTGACGGGAAGCCGGCCCTGCCTGGTTCCCGGCTACTCTCTCCATCCCAATGGCTTCTTCTCATGTGCCTGTTCAACAGGTGGCCTGGGGACAGGATGACCCTTGAGCTGAGTGCCAGTCATAGATCTAAGGGCTTCTCTCCAGCACTTACTGCCCCAGCCAACGGGCTGCAGCTCACAGCCTGGCCTGGTAAGGTGCACGTGCCCAAGTGCCCAAGCTGTCACATGGCCACTGGTTGGGCCCAGTCCTGAGGTACAGGGCTGGTTCATCCATCTCCAGATGTACACAGGGGGAGGCCAGGAGAGCAGTGCCTCCCAGGGGAAACTGAGGCATGAGCCCCAAGTGCAGAGAAATGGATCCTAGCCAGGTCAGAGCAGGAACCACCATCCCTGGCTGCTCGGGGTGCAGCTCTCAGAGCAGGGGGTGGGTGCCAGAGCCACACCAAGATCTCTGGAAACACAGGGCCTGGCTCAGCCCCTCTGCACGCCCATGTCTAGAACCCACTGCTCTGCTCCCAAGCATTTCTAGATGCCTAGAACTTTTTTTTCCCCCTTTTTTGGACACAAGTCTGTGGATCACACTGGGTTTTATTCCATTTTATTTTATTTTTTTATTGGCAGAACCGGGGATTGAACTCAGGCCCTTGCGCTTGCCAGGGAAGCGCTTATTCTACTGAACCATCTCTCCGGCCCTTTTTATTCCATTTTAAAGCTGAGGGCCTCAGGGAGCAGTGGGGACCACAGGCACACCTGGACTGTTCAGGCCATCTTCTCTGTCATACTGGCAACCCCAAAAGGCAAGAACTAAGAGAGCCCTCGGAGGTCACTGGGGCCAGCCCCTCCCCTGAGAACAGAACAGGGGCCAGTGGGGAGGGGTCATGCAGTCACTGCCCATTTGCCACACAGGAACCCCCCACCCACTCTGCCCTCATCCTGGTAAGCGGCTGCGCTTCCGGAATCTACACCATGGGAGACATGTCCTGAGCCCCGGGGCCTCACTCAGGAGGCAGCAGTGGCCTGGTCACTGGTGTCACTCAGCACTTGGCCAGGACCTCCGGGAGCATGAGGGACCTACACAGATACACAGACACACACAGACACACAGACACAGACACACAGACACAGACACACACACACATACACAGGTTCCTGAAACCAAGGGCTCTACAGACCACAGCGGCCTTTATTCCATTTTGAAGAGGAGGCTGGAACCAAGAAGGTTCATTCTCAGGCTGCATCAGAAGGTGCGGAGTGTTGGGGACACAGACTAGACCCCAAAGTGACAATAAGTTAAGGGGCTTCTCAGGTTGCTATCAGGCTACAGCCAGGACGGGGCACCAACTGGGCGGCCCCAGGGCTTTTTCCAGGCTGGATTCAGGACAGTGTGGCCTCAGCTGAAACACAATGGGGCAGGGGACAGGAGGTTGGTGGGGACCAGCAGGTACCCAGAGCCAGGACAGGCCTTATGCCTGGGGGTGGCTCAGGACAAGGTCGTTGGGGTCAACCACTTACCAGGCGCTCAGCTAAGCTCCTGAACATTCTCGTAATCTGGAGCTTCCTCATCCTCTTCCTCTCCATCCTCTACCTCCCGGGCGCTCAGGGTGGCTACGAAGGGGCAGAGGTTGGCAGCCAGCCCGCTGCCAGCACACGCAGAAGCCCCCGGGGCTGCCCCGGCTCTGTACACACCAGGCTTAGTGCTGGCCATCGGCTGCAGCTCCTGGGACACATTCACATACTCCAGGCTGCCATCTGGGGAGACAGGGGGAAAGGGAGGGCATTGTCAAGGGGCCAGGCCACATGGGTGGCAGGCAGTGAGGGCCCTTGGGCAGGGGAGCAGGTGGCCACTCACCCATGGATGCTTCTGTACTCTCCTCGCTCTCGGAGACATTCACGTAATGTTTGGACTCCACTGTAGAAAAGCCATCAGCACTCAGCCCAGCCCAGCCCAAGCTGTCCCTGGAGACCCTTCGCACAGATGCCCACAGGTCCCCAAATTGGATATCCGGGGGCCCAAGAGAAGATACCCTGAGACCCCCAACAGTTAGCTGGTGCAGACACAACGGCCCGAGCAAACAGTGACAGCAGCCGGGTGAGGAGAAGGCCACAGAGGTGGACAGAAGAGGTTTCCTAGAGGGATACTGCTAATAGGAGCAGAATGTGGCAGCCAGCATGGCTCTAAATGGGCAGCTCCTTGGGAATGAGTTTGGTGGCAAAGCAGAGGAAAAGCCACACACTCAGCCCAGCCCAGCCAGCTACCCTGCCCCACCTCAGCCAAATTGCTTGATCCCCCGTGGCCACTGCCCACACAATCCTAGTCTCTCTGTGTACTCATCGCCCCCCCCGTGTCACGTGGTTCTTTAATGCAGAAGTGGATATGATGGCCCTCGGAGCCAGATAACCCAAGTTCAAATCCTGGCTCTAGCACTGAGAGAGGTCACTGACTGTAACCTCTGACATGTTACCTAACCTCCCCGGGCCAGTTTTCTCATGTGTAAAACAGTTATGAACAGGACCCACACTTTGCAATCAATCCCTAGCTGGGGTGGGCGGTGACTCGTGTCTTGTTGTACCAGCTACTGGAAAGATCATGAGGCAGGAGGATTGCTTGTGTCCAGGATTCAAGGCCAGCAAGCCTTAAACATAGCAAGACTTTCTCAAGAAAAAGAAATAAAAACAATATGTAAATAAATCCTGCCAGTTAGGCATGGTAGTGCATACCCAGAAGCCCAGCACTCGGGAGGCTGAGGCAGGACGATCACCGATCACCGCGAGTTGAAAACCAGCCTGAACTACACAGTGAGACCCTATTTCAAAACAGTAACAAGACCAAAAAGAGCACTGACAGACCAAAAAAGCTTTTGGGTGAGAGAAACAAAATGTCAATGCAAAGGTTGAAGAATAAGTCAAGGAAATCTTTCTCCCAGGCAACAGACAAAAAGGAAGACAGGAAATGGGGGAGAAAATTTTGAAAAATAAGAAGATCAGAGCAAGAAAGAGGAACATCTGAAGGAAATGGAAGAGGTGCTCATCAAAGAAACGAGGGCGGAGAGCAGGGGCTGGTGCACGTGGGGGAGGCAGTGGACACAGGCCGCCGACTCACCGGAGAAGGCACTGTCTCGGAGGCCAGGGTTGCTGGGAACAGGAGCGGCGGGGTCCCCAGTGCTGGTGGCCGGGGCGCCGTCGGGAAGCACCACCCTGGAGGGGAGCAAGGAAAGGGTGAGCTGGGCCGCTGGCCCCGACCCCGCCTCCCGCCCGGCCACTCACACGTAGCCGTAGCCCTCGTTGGGGTAATCGTCCTTGTCCTCCTCTTCCGGGTCCTCACAGGCCAGCTCTGGGAAGAGAGACGCACGAGGTTCGGGCTCCGACCCCAGACTCCCGGCCCAGCGGTGCAGCATCCCAGACTCACCTTGGTTCTCATAGCTCGCCACGCTGTTGGCTTCGGGAGAGAACAAGGAGACCAAGTCAGCTCAGGGGGCGCCGAGCTCCTGCCCAGTCGCAGCCCTCGGAGCCCACCTGCGCCCAGCCTTACCACCATCGGAATCCTGCCGGGAAGACCGCATCCTGTGGGAGCTCCCGGGGGGCTGGTGGAACCGTCTGTGGGAAGTCAAAGGTCAAGGGTCACGGCTGGGGGGGAGCCCCAGGGCAAGGGGAGCTGCAACAGGAAGCCCCTATCCAAGCAAAGTGGGGTCAGGGGGTGACCGGGCGGTACTCACGGGATGTGCTGCAGGTCTGGCTGGCTCGGGGGTGGGTAGGAGACAGATGGGTAAGGGACTGAAGGGGCCCAGGGCGCCAGCGTTTCTGAGGACAGAACCAAGCCTGAAGGAGACTCCAGACATAGGCAAGGCCTCAGCGGACACCCGCGCCCTAGCCCGACCGGGGCTCCCACCTCCCCCAGCTCAGGCCAAGGACGAGTGGGCAGCCACAGGGAGCTAAGCGGAGCCAGGCACGAGCTCACGCCGAGGGGAGCACTCCCTGCACGCTGGGTGGGAGACCCTCCGTGCACTCACGGGGCGGCTTGAACAAGATGCTCTCTGTCTGTGAACTGGCAGGAAAGACACAGTGTGGGTTTGGGGCTCAGAAGAGCCCGGCCAGCCCTGTCCCGGGGACAGCGGGAGAGCCTCATCGGGGTGGGGGGACAGACTCACCGATCGTCACTAGCACTGCCGTAGGAGGCTGGAAAGAGAGGCAGCCAGTGAGGCAGGGGCAAGGTTACCCAAGAGCCCCGAACGAACGGACATCATCAAAGGGCAGCCAAGCAGTGGGAGCTGGAGAGAACCCGCCTGTGCACGCGGCATCTGCCGCTTGACTCACCCCGCAGCTCGCGGCAGCGCACGCACAGCACCATCAGCAGCCCGGCAACCAGGGGCAGCAGCAGGAGGCCCAGGGGCTCTGTAAGGACCACGCTGCCCACCTCCATCTGCAGGAGAGCCCGGGTGGCCCCGTCGGCAGAGGGGTAGCAGATGCGTGGGGGCCGCAGCTGTGCCCTCCGGGGGCTCCTGGACCTCGAACCAGCCAGGGGTCAGGGCTGATCCAGGCTGGCGAGGCCAGGGCCGGGCCGGGATCCGGGACACCGACCACCGCGCGGCCTTCGCCCCAGTCACCGCCTGTGAGACTCCTGTGCCAGGCGTCCCTGCCCCTCGCTCCTGCCCCCCCCCCTCTGTGGCAGGAAGCTGTGGCGAGCACAGGAAATCATCGGCTCCTCAGCCAGCTGCACCGCCCCCTGCCTACCCCCACCACCTGGGAAGTGGGGAGGCCTGAGGAGGTGCCCTGGACTCCCAGAAGGGTCTGGACTGCAGGTCAGTGACGCCCCAGGGGGAAGGGAAGTCCCTGCAGCCAGTGACAGTGCTCAGCGAAGGGCCTACCGCACAGGCCCGGTCTGACTCACAGTCACACAAGCCAGCTCACTTGTAGGGGAACAGTCCTCCCTCTGGTCACCCAGACCGGAAGACAGGGATACCCCCAGGCATGACCTCACAGTCCCAGAGAGAGACTGGCGGACTGGGGATGTAGCTCAGAGCACAGAGGCACAGCGTCTGCCTGGCAAGTGTGAAGTCCTGAGTTGGATTCCCGGTACACACACAAAAATACTCAAGCAGGTACTTGGGGTCTGGCTACAAATTTTATTGTTACAAATAGCACCGAGCCTGCAGGGCTACCCCAGCGTAGAACAACACCCTATCAGGCCCCTGACCCTGGGCTGGCCATGCAAGTAGTGTCTGGTAGCGAAGACATGGCCCAAGGTTAGCTCCTGGTCTTTTACCCTGGACACTTCATGGGTGTGGGCCAGCCCAAAGCCAGTGGCCACAGATGTGTGGACAGGTGAGTGACAGGCTCCTCAGATGAGCACACTGGACACGGGGACCCGGGTGGAGCGGCCTCGCTGGGGCACCACGATTCGGTCATCTGTGGCCCTTGCCTCGGGCAGCAGACCTGCAGGAGGAGGGGACAGAGCCAGGCTAGAGACACACAGACACACAACCAGACAGGAGATGAGCAGGCAGTGGGATGCAGGCTCCAGCAGGAGCCACCAGAACCGTGGACACAGACTGCCACCCAGTTACCAGACAGAAATTAGAAGCCGAATGATGGGTGAGCCAGGATGGAGATGCCAGCTACCGGGCTACGCAGCTAGACAGACAGACAAAAGGGCAGCGTGGCGAAGGTGACAGAGAGTAACGGACCGTGCACGTGCAGCTGGGCCCGCCGGCGGTCGCCCTCGATGACAATGGCGGTGCCCAGGAAGGCCGCGCCACCCAGCGCCCCGACGAAGGCACAGAGCATCAGCGAGAACTGCAGAGCCCTGAACTCGGACAGGAAGGACGGGGGCCAGCTCCGGCGGAGGCGATCAGAGATCTGTGGGAACAGAGAACCAGGAGTCAGGGACCCGGGAGGGGATGGGGTAAGCCCCCAAACAAGAAAAGGAGCACTGTAGCAAGACCCCTGGCCGCCTGGGAAGAAGCCTGAAGACAAAGTCCTGTGGCCAGAAGAAGGTGAATGGGCCCC